AATGAATGAATGAATGAATGAATAAATAAATAAATGAAGAAGCAATAAAAGGTATAGGTAAAGGAAAGGTTAAGTCTGCACACAAGCTAAGTGGCCCATCAGGCCAGATCTTATCCCGGTTTTCTGTAGCATGAAGCGACTAGGAGTATTTCTACTCCAACCTGGATGGGAGACCTGTCAATCACAGGGTTACCCCCAGCATTAGATTCGCCAGTACCCATTTATACACCTGGGTGGAGAGAGGCAGTGTGAGAGTAAAGTGTCTTGCCCAATAACACAACACAATATTCCCGGCGAGGGCGAGAACCCGGACCGCTCGATCTGGAGACGGGCACACTAACCATGAGCCCACTGCGCCTCCCGCAACAAAAATTATACTCCCTTGAAAAAGGGTTAATGTTGACTGATGTACAACTCGGAACCTCAGCATGTAATATCTTTGTAGTGAGACTTGGCATACCAGGATCCAGACCACCATTCCTGAGATTCCAGCAATCAGCAGTGTAAATACGACAATGGGCCAAGAGTTCTGAAGCAAGTTCATAAGCTCAAGTGCAGTGACTTTGCTGTTAACATGTTCGACGTCCATAATAAGAAAATATCCAGCAGATTGAAGGAATACTTCAAACGCCAATAGTGGTCCGGTCTGTCTAGGTCCATACGCTGAATCTCGCATACGCATCATCACTGGTCCTGATATCGGGAAGGCTATATCTGTCTTATTTTCCTGTAAAGCTGATAAAAAATCGTCCGTGGAGTTAAAAAGCGTTATATGGATTGCATTCCGGGGCAATCCGCAGCCTTGAATAAAACATCTTCGGGTAAGTCGAGTGAAAAAGTCTCCTAAGATGCCTTCGACTTCTCCAGAATTAGACGACATGATATATGGCGGAACACGAAGAACTGATGCCCTAAGTCCATTCTCGGGACAGAAATGAAGAGGAGCTGGTTTCACCGCGAGGACGGACCTACAAAGTAAAGTAGTGATGACCATAATGACCATCGAGATGATCCGCGGTAACGCCATCTTGAATACAAGCCCCTTGCTGTGGTGGCAACCTACAAAGAAGGAATGCTGGGCATCATTTACTTATAAAGTCCTCAACTAAGCTTGTGACAAAAGATATTTTGCAAATTAACCAGCCATACTCTGGCTATTTCTAGAACGGTTCCTGTCTTATTGGACATTTCGAAAGACGTCATGTATCTGGACGGATTGGAGTCGTTAAACTTGCCCAGACAAAATCATATGCTTCTGAAACTTCGATGTGTGAATATATGCTTTTTGAATGTAGTCTTATTTGGGAACGGATCAGGTATTTTTGCAGAAAAGTTTCTATATGCTTAGACTGTAAAATAAGTCGTAATTTTATTCAGGAAGGCAAAGAAAAACTCGAAAGCTGCCTTGAACATAAGAAGACACTAAAGACTTTGTCAGTTTTGAACCAGGGAAGCAAAAAGAAGAGTTGTTGAAGTGTGCCCTTTGGTAATTCGTGGATTTCTTTTCCTCAGCTACATATATACTGCTCAAAAAAATCGAAGAAGGAAAAGGGAACGACGTTACTGAGCTAGATGTCATGGTTTTCTTTGAAAGGTAATTGTTTCTTTGTTTTATCAGTGATTTCAGGACCTGCTGCCCTATTAGGGTAGTAAGGACGTTTTATCACTGATTTCACCATGCGTTCCCAGCCTTAATACTATAAGCCACAGTCTTCAGTGAAGACGACCTCTCAATCCTTGTGTTTATGATCTCAATTATAACGTTTCACGCCAATCTTATACCGATCTTTTTCCATTCAACTGGTCAGCAACAGTAAGCAGTGAAAGGGCATTGGCAAAGAAAATCGACGGATACGGCTAGCGTGTTTACATACTTGTTGCTACCCAATTCAGATCATTCGATGATTCATTTGGGAGGTCACTATTGTTCTGTTTGTACATACTCCCACGCAATCAGTGGCGTGTGGCAAACTGCATAACAGTATTCCTCCCAGATGAATCATCAAGTGACCTGAATTGGCTGGCAACAAGGAGGTAAACACGCTAGAAGTCCATGGATTGAAATTGGAATTATCGTACTCAAGTTGCCCTGACAACGGGCTAACAGTCAAATAGCCATTTTGCAAACTCGCTACTGTACTTAAATTACAATATAAAACTCAAGGTGATAAGGATCTAAGTGTTGTACTTGTCCTTCAACACTGTCACCGCATAGCAGGTTCTTTAAAACTACTAGTAACTCTGCCATCAAATTAAAAGGTCTATTGAATATTGCCTTGAGGTCACGAGAACAGCATGTTTAAGGTAACAACAACAAAACGTTGTTAACGTTAGACCGAGTACTGCAACAAACAAACAAACAAACAAACAAACATGGGGAAAATTTAGGAGAGGGCGGGGGGAAGGGTTGTTATTTCCTCTTGTACCTTACCGTTCTCAAAATACCTTCTTACGGAAACCTTTTGGGCACTTTAAACGTGATGTTGTAAGCTTTAGTACAGCGTTTCGTCACTAATAGTTTAATGAGAATAATATTTTCTTCGCGTGCAAATAGTGACACTTCTATTGACAATAATCTTTTCTCTATTATAAAGTTTCCCAGATCATGTTTGATCATAGAAAATTACTTCGCTCCCGCGGCTGGAGCGGTTATGAGTCAAATTATTAACGACGTCAGAAGTATTTTTCAGTATTGTCTTTCTAGCAAAAACAAATTAACTAACCAAGTAGAAACACAGAATTCAGGACATGAAAAGGTAAATGAGTGCCGATAAGTGATAACGTTTTCTGGAAAACATTCATTTACTGAAACCAATTTTCCGCGGAAGATATAAAATAAACTAATAAACATCTGGCATTTCCGCTATCTAATTACGAGAATCCCAGGAGTACAGATAGGCTTTTTAATATTTAGAAGGCATAACTTTGACGCTTTTTTGTTTCGCCTGTTGTGACAAACCCAAGTCTTTAAATTCTAGAGAGGTCTTCATTTAATTATTTCCGCACAGTTTTTGTCATTAAGACGAGAAATAATACTTTCACCAATTCCCATTTGAGGCAGTTTTTAAATGTACGCGCAGGTGAACAGTGTAAATATTAAAATATTAAAATATAAACCCTACTCAGACTTGGCATATCGAACTTTAAGTTCTCATGGGAAATTGTCAACTGTTTGCCTTTGGAGTTTACGATTGATTCAGTCCCAGGGAGACATTGTATGCATATTGGGATCTCGGAAGAATGCCCGTATTAGCTGTTTCCGCCTATAATTCGCCAAAAACGAATACAAATGTACTTTTTGAAATAAGCTCAAGTTCATGTTGATTTGTAAAACAGTAGATCCTCTAGTATGGCGAACGTATTAGCACCTCGCCCTAGCTGATAGCTGGTTCGATGCTCATTCAGTGCGAAGTAAACAGTAAAATAATAATTGTTTTCACTTGCGAAGGTTAAATTTCCACTTGTACCGAGAGAATCGATATAAGTGGAATATGTTTTTCTCAGATGCCCCATAACTGTTTGGTTCCTTCCTAATTACAATTTTTTTTAATTTACTGTTTAATATAAATCCTGAACTTATAGTAATATTATAGTGTTATTTTTGTTTTCGTCAATGACCTCAAGTAGTTGGTTTTTTTTTAAACCGTGATTAAACCTTCTTTAATCATTTGCTGAATCATTGTTTTATACATTTGCGAAACAAACATGTCTTTCAATCAGCACATTCTCAGATCTCCTCCCATAATAACCTTTCAAAGTTATGACTTTTTTAAAAACACTTTAGAGGCTTATTCTGGAATTTTAAAAATTAAACAGTTGGGATTTTATGCTTGAACAGTCTACTTGCCTATGGGGATTGAATTCCCTTTCCCGGTTTTGGCTGGCAGAGTTTGTTAACCTCGAATTTACGTGTTAGCAACCAGTTTGTCCTGTTCTCCGCGAACAATTAGAAACCACGGTTTGTTACTCTCTGGAGTAGCTGTCGAAAAAGTAACCAAACTCTGTGACTATGGCCTGTGTGATTTTGTACCGATCGCGCGACTGCATATGAAATAATGCGTATTAAATTGTATGTTTGCCTAGAAATGTCCACTGTTAAAAAGGTAAACGTTATACGTACACTTGAAGATTTCTTGTCCTGGTGCAAAGCTCCAGTTGCCAAAAAAAAAAAACCACTCTGAGATCAGCGGAAATTTGACTGGAATCAGTATTCCCCCGGCGATATGTGATGTGATCAAGAAGGGAATAACTGTCTCTCAATTTAATGTTAGCAAACGTGAAACGAATTCTCGAAATGAACTAATCAACCACTGCGAAAAAAACTGATAAAGAGCGGCAGGGTATGGGAGAAGCAATCTGTCATTGGCTCGTAGGACAACGGTCTTTTGGCGTATTGTAAAGTGCTGTCAATTATTTATCGTGATATCTGTAGTTTGCAGAATTAACGATAACCTTTTAAGGGCCAGCTGCTAGCTGAATGATTTCTTAACAGGAGACTGAAAATTATTGTTCATCAAAAATCTAGAAAAGGTGAGAAAGTACTAAATTATTTCGTGAGGTAGGTAGGTATTTGAAAACATAATTTAGAAAAGAGACATTTTTCCTCTTATTCGCCAGAAAATTTCGTCTTGACGTCGTCGACAGTCAGTAACTCCCCGGTTGGTCCATTTAAAGTTTGCAAGCATATTTTCCCACATTAAAAAAGGTTTTGACCAAGGTTCACTGTTGTTTAGGTTGCATGAACCGTAGGTATTATATTGACTTTCCTAGATTCAGTTTCGTGTAATTTTGGTCAACTCGATCTTCCCTCTCATTAAGAGGGTTCGATATATTTTTCTATTACAACATTTTTCACACTTTTTTAAGAATGTGAAAAAGTTGTATGAATTTAAAAAAAGTTAGAAAGTTATATTTAAAAATATAATTTTGTAACTTTGTTTTTGAAATACAACTTTTAAAACATTTTTTAATACAACTTTGATCATCATTTTTCAACCTCGTTCCCAGTGCTTTTCCCTTTGTGGACGACAGCGTTATAAAAACATGTTCACTTTAATTTGCGCCACTTTCCTCGCGCTGGAACTGATCGAAATCGTCGGCCATACAAAACAGTATTTTTTTTTGCTCTTATTTTGATAAACGCGAATTGGTGAAACTAATCCGCCATACATCTCTTTTTGAACGGTGTATATTACCCAAGTATTCAACAATTAATCAGCATCCTGGTCTTTCTCCTCCTTTTCCTCCTCTTCAGTCTTTGTATGTATGTTGACTAGCATACGAAACGTTATATTCTTAATCACCACCACCACCACCACCATTATCACCTTCATCATCATCATCATCATCATCATCATCATCATCATCATCATCATCATCATCATCATCATTGTTGTCATACTTCAATTTAAAAGCAAGGTAGTTGAAAAGAATGGCAGCCAAAGGGCTGACGTGCCATGCGTGTAGTACCTTAGTATGGCTGTGAACACAAGACAGTTTGCCAATATGGTGACGAATAACTTTTATTGCAAATTTTTATCAAATAAAAATTGTCATCTCTAGCTATGACGTCAAAATCAGTTGTCACGAAAACTTTTAAGGCTAAGCAGTTAGCTTTACATAGTGTTAATTTCTACAAACTTTTAAAACCGCAAAAATTGTTGAAACCTTCAAAGCCTGGGTCTGAATCCCTTCAACATAATTTGTTTGAAGATTGGTCAAATTTTGGTCTTGTCAATTTAAAGATAATAGATCAAAATGTTAAATTTTCATCGAGTGTTTTTAAAGTTATTACCCTCAAGGTCTAAAATACGGTGTATTTGGTCATTTCTGACCACATATGCAACTTATCCTGCAAATTGATAATTTTTTAAGGTTTTCATTGATATGGTATGCAGTAAAAATTATTGGACAAGCTGCGATGACATTCTAAGATAGTTATTTTTTAAAGTATTTTGCACGTAAGCCACCTTAAGTATACTCAGAGGGAGGGGGGAGTTTCATTGAAGCCTGAACTTTTAAGTAAAAGCGTGGCATGTTATATGGCATTGTGACGTTGTGCATAATGGCCATGCAGATTTAATGGAACAAAAGAAAATGTTTACATAAGAAAAGAGTTCAATTTCTACAGCGTTAATTTGGAATACCAACATGGCTGCCGTTGAATTTCATTGTTTTGAGACATCAAAATGGCTCCCGTGGAGTCACGTGTATACACTAAAATGCACTAAAATACCCTCTCTACATCAAGTGAACGTGTTTTGAAAATTTTAAGAGTTTTCTCGTCTCGTTAGAGGATTAACATACTTTTTAAAAATATCTATGTGTTTTTATTAAAGATGTGTCTATTATTCATCGTGATGTAGGATAGGACAGATAAATTTTACTCGCTTGTCTCACGATGGAGTCACTTATGATGTTATATTTTTTATTGACCAAGCATGAAGTCGAACTGGATATTTTGCAAAAACGATCAAGGGCAATATCCAGCCATTTTGACTCAATCAACAAGCTAAGTTAATAAAATATTTATTACATGGCATACCGGTCAGCATTTTCCTGCGGGATGCAGCATGCAATCCCGAGCGGCAAAATAGCCGCCATCTTGCCCGTTCGGGTAGCCAATCACAACGCAGGATTTGTTTCATCTTGCTCTCTCACAGAGCTAACCATGTAATAAAGTTATAAATTAAGAAAGTGTCGATAGTAGTCGAGGGTTACTTGATAACAGCTTTACTCTTAAGAATCGTAAAATTCAAGCTTATGCCACTTTGGCCTGAAATTTGTGTTTGATGCTACGTAACAAAAAGCAGCCGTCATCTTGAACGTCTCTCAAGGATTTGTTTCCTCTGCCTCTCACTGTCTCTCTTACATGTAGGTTGTGTTGTGTCCCGATCCAGTAGGGCGGTTTGCACGGGATGATACAACTGTGAACTGCTCTTGCAGTTTGCCCATCTCTCTGACCAGCTGTTCAAGCTTGTCCTCTACACCTTTGAGGTTAGCTTTCAAAGTAGGCTGCACACTCATCTCCTTAAATTCAATTCCGTCTGAAAGAAAATAAGAGATAAACAAAAGCTAATAGAACTTGTTTCTTGTATTCCAGGCCGTAAGGTCTGGTGGTGAAATGATTTGATTGCAGGTTTGATAGAGTGACCGAGTGAAGTGACTGACTGACTGGCTGGCTGGCTG